ACGAGGGTACCATTAAATATCATAGTCACACACCACCGATCATGTGAGCAAAGCTCAAGTCACACACCACCAATCTCATTCATAGTCACACATAGTCATCATCATCAAGAAGACTAAAACCCATCAACAACCTTAATCAAGTATCAACAAAAGGTACAACGATTTGTACAAGATCACACCACAAGAACCAATCAAGAGATCACAACAAAGACATGAGACAATACTCAACAACAAAGGATTAGAATCCAACATCTAATGATTGACAACGCAAGTTGCCAACCCCAATAAGAAGGAACAAACCACACATACTAGCATAACAACATCAAACTAGCATGCTCAACAAGCGGGTAAACCAAAATGGTTCCAATGAACCTTCAAGACTCATATTAGCCCAACGAATCACAGGGTTGGACCCTTAGCACGATTCAAGACACCAAATCTTAACATGGATCCCTACACATCGTTCTAGACATATGAAACATCAAGAAGACTCACAAAGAGCTCAATAATCCAACAACGGGAGGTCAAAACATCAATACCAAGAAGAAAAGAATCACGGGGAACAAATCCCTGCACTCACATCAAACGTTCCCCGCGGGTGGTGCCACGGGTAGGCCCCCACCCGTGGGCCTGCCCGCGGGGTACACTCCCCACTCCAGCCTGTTCCCCGCGGGTGGAGCGGCGGGTAAGCCACTGCCCGCCGTTCTACCCACGGGGTACATCACCTGTACACAATTTTCCCTTCGGGGATTTTCATCATCAAGGTCAAGTTCAAGTCCAAAACACCCAAAATCTCACACACAACAAAGATATGACTTGAACCCAAGAAATAGCCAAGCAATGGCATTCAAAAAACCTAAATACAAGCTCTAAACATGCATCATCATAAGATCATGCATCAAATCTCACAAATCACATCAAGAACATCAAGTAGAAGCCAATAATAATCATTTAGGTAAGAAAATAGGTTTTGTATAGCATGAGTTACCTTTGTAGCTTAACAACTTCTCCTTTTCACCCTCTTAAGCCTCTTCTTAGAGCTCTTCTTCCTCACCAATTTCTTACACAAGCCAAAACACAAGAAAGATTCTATCTTAAATAAAGACACCCAAAAGATGGCTAAAAACACTAAAAAGCTATGAACCTTACCCTTTCCTATGCTTGGGAAGAAGAAAGTAGGAATCTTGGAGTGGGATCTTGCAAGGCTAGAATGTTCTCCTTTTTTCTTGAAGAATAAGATAGGTTCTTTTAGAGATATGCTAGAGTGTTTGAGACTTAGGCTTGAGTGAGGAATGAATGAAATGTCTTGCTAGGGATAGCTTGAACCACAATTCATGGGTGAAATGTCACTTTTACCCTTACTAAGGTTGGAAAGACAAAGGGCTAAGGGCACAAACCATAAAGCACAAGGTACACTTGATTGACTTAAGTGACTAGTCAAATTCTAGTCCCTCGACTATTAAATTTCAGGATTTTTAAAAATGGATTACCAAGGAAAGCTTGGATTAATTATTCGATTAATCCCAATTAGTATTTAGATGTACGGGGTGTCACACCTTTAGCCTCTAAGTCCGACACAAGGTTTTCATACTCGTGCACCTGCTCTATTATTGGTTTAGTCCACCATCTTGTAGTTGAGCCAGTGCCCAACTGTGTACTTTCTACGTCCCGCATCTTCTGTTCCATATTTCTTCTTCAGCATGTCCCAAATTACCCTCATTGATCGATAATTTGCATATATGTCTAACAGATTATCAAACATATGTTCTAGCAAAGTGCTTCGGACGAGCTTGTTGTCTCGTTCGTACTTGGTACGAACTTCAGTTTCTTGGGACTTACCAGTAGCCTCGGTTGACCCTGACTTTGGATAAGGAGTTTTCGGATCAGTGGTGTCGGCTTCTGTCTTAGGTTGAGAGGACTCAGCAACCTTGGATTCGGGTTGAGCGGTCAGAATGTACTCCAGCTCAACAGACTCAAAATAGATCATCATTTTGATGGCCCAGCGTTGGTAGTTGAGCCTGTCAAGTGACTGTAGCTTTGCAAGATTAGAAGTTGCTTTGGACGACATTTTCAGAGGAAATAATCGGATAAATTTTTGCTTTTAACTGTTGGACGTGGGATGAAAATGGCGGTAATTTGTTGTTGTTTGATGTAGGCTGATTTGGATGGAAATAACAAAGGAATTTTGTGGCGTGTAAACACTACCTTAAAAGCGAAAATTCCCAGAGTATAGTCGGATGCTTTCGACCGGTTGCACACAGAAGGCACAGGCGAACCTGACTCAAATGCTCAGACTACTCAGAGAATGAGAGAAGAATGTTAATGAAGCGTGTTTAGAATTCAGGAGGAGCATGGTATTTATAGCTATAGAAATACCCGCCCCTCCTCTCTCAGTGATTCAATTTCCACGAAAATAGGGGAGAATGTGGTGGAGAGGGCAACTGATAAGTGTTAAAATGTATCACTTTTATGGGTTAATTAAGAGTCATATTTTGCTTAATTAGAGTCCTTAATGCCTATTATGTGCTTAGAATAGCTTAATTTGATTAAAGTTAGGCACAAGGACTAGTTTTGGTTACATTTGTTGAAAATAGCAAAATGTTAACAATTTTAGAATATTTCAGCGACACTTTGGAAGAATAATCATATATGGAGCTAGGAGTGTCCGATCGAGGTCAATCAAGTGGCGTTGGATCGGCATTTCGAAGGGCTACAACTTTTTTGAAGACCACAAAGGCTATTTCAGATATATATGCAGTCAAACTCCCATTTACGTTGGAGTGACGCGCGTAACGCGGCGTTAGCTGAAGCGATATTTTGGCGACACTTCGGTAGAATGATCATATATGGAGCCAGGAATGTCCAAATGAGGTGATTCAAGTGGCATTAGATCGAAATTTCAAAGATCTACAACTTTCATACGACCATGAAGGCTAATTCGGACGTCTAGGCAGTCAAAATCAGCGATGAATGCGTCAGAATTCCCAGTCACGCCCACTGTCACGCAGTGAGGGCGCGTGAAAAGGAAATAAAGGGGTCTTGGCAAGGTTTTTAGGCAAGATTTCAGATCTGAAACTTTATTCCCATCATTATTCATCTTTCTACTTTCTCACTCTAGGTTTTTAGGTTGGATTAGGTTAGAATTCCCTCCCTTCTCTCTAGAGGCTAGCTCTCAAGCACTCTCCATTTTGTAAGAAGAAGAAGGGGATATTCAAGCTCATCTTGGTGGATCTTCATCTTCACTTGATTGTTTTGTAATTTTGACATTACAAGTGGGTAATCTCTTAAGATCTATCTTTATATTGCTTGATTTGATGATTATGCCTACTTTGTGTATGTTGAGATTATTGAGCATGAATATGAGTAGCTATATTTCTATGAGTGGATTGGATATTTCTTTGTGATTGTTGATGTATTGATTAATGTGATTTGGCTATATGTTTGATCATTGTTGGAAGTGGATTTTGTATTGTCTTGTGTGTGTGTTGCGCGCACTCTTGCGTGAGGTTTAGGATGGGTGTATTGACAAGAGATTGTGATATACCATAGCCTTATTTGTATGAGTGTATTGGCCAGAGATTGCGATACACTCTAGCCTTGATTGGTAGTGTGATTGTCTTAACTTATGTTTGAGTTTGCGCACCACATACATGAGAGTTAGGAAGAGTGTATTGGCAAGAGATTGTGGTATACTCTAGCCTTTCCACTTGCAATTCTCGCCTTGCAATCCGAGAGGGCCAAGTCCGGAATCAAACACGTAGGCAAGGTGTTTGATAAAATGCCTTAGTCACACTAAGGAGTGTTCTAAGAAGTTAAGTACGTATCGGCTTAGCACTAGTAAAGCGTGAGCCAATGATCAAACCCCCGTTTAGCCTCCATTCTCGACAATGCCTATACATTGCAATTCTAGGAATTCCAATCCACTCCACTTCTTTTTATTTTCTAGTTTCTTTTGTTTTCTTTTGCATGTTTTCCTTTATTGCACTCTTTGCTCCCTACTTTCCCCGTACACATACCACCTACACCTAGTTTTCTCTTGTTAATGCACTGTGATACATGATTGTCTTGCACTCTATTTACTCCGACTTGCCATCCTTGAGTTCGACACTCGGGGATTTCATATCTTCGTTTATACTTTCCATCCTATGTCACCCACGAAATTACATTCCACCAGCCACATTTGTAAGGATTAAAATCTGGCTTCACAATTTATTGTGGATGGCACAACTAATGAAGGGATCTTCACTTCTTTTGAATGTTATTCCCAACAATAATCGGACAACTCCGTCTACATCACCGGACGCCCAGCCAGAGCCAAGTCCTCCACTAACATCTGTGCTCGCCCAAGATAGTTGGAGACAGAGGAGCTGCATTGCGCTAATCCTTGCAACTCGCCGAGCAATCGTAGAGCACGGGACCTGGTTGCCGACCCCAGCGACTGTTCTATCGCCAACCACAGCGCTCGCGACGTCGTCCGGCCAACCTCCAATGGAATCGTCTCATCGGATAGCTATGAGATAAGGAGTGACAGGTTGGCTTGATCCTGCCGATGCCATTGCACACGAGAGGAGGAAGCCAGCTGCTCAGCGTCACTGCTTTTCGCCGTTGAAGCCACCGGCGCAATCAACTCTGGACAAGGAATGGTGCCATCGACAAACCCAAGCAAGCCTTGACCCTCCAAGAACGGGATCATCTGTGTCCTCCAAAAAAGATAATTGCACGCGGGAGTTTAAGAGAAACAAAGTGGTGTGCGGAGGAAAGACTATTGTTCGGTAAAACGGGGGTAGGGGCATCCTCGGAAACAGTCCGTTCTGAAGAATCACGAACAGAGCCATCATCATTCACTCCCAAGGCTGCCATGGAAAAAAACCTGGATACAACTGATACCAGATGAGGATTGTAATATCAGAAGTTACATAATACAAGTCTGTACAATAGTAATATAGAAAGATAGAGAGAGAATCCTAGTAGGCTACAAATATAAGAGTCCTAATATTAAGGAATGGCGTTGATTGATATTGTTTTTATGATGTTTGATGAAATCTCAATGAAATCTAAAAGAGTAAATCTTGGTGATAAATAGGCTCCATGTATGTGCTTCTACTAAATTGATATTGATGTCCTTGAATTTGGATCAATGACCCTTAGGCAGATGTTTACTTCAAACTTCAATTTATCTCTGTTTTTGGCTTTTCTTTGTGCATCTAGTGATTAGCCACACCGTGGTCTACGTTTAAATTATTTGTGTCTATTATTATAGAAATTTGTTAAAATAATGTTAACAAAAGTTTAATTGGGTTTAATATTATTTTAGATTGGCTTCTGATGGATAAAAGTTGGATGAATGCTTGTCAAATTAGTAAGGAATACGAAGATGGAGTTAGAAAATTTTTAAAATTTGCAAAGAATAACCTTCCGAATAGTAATAAGAGGTTCTTGTATCCTTGTAAGAAGTGTTGTAATCAGAATAGGTTATGTGAAGACGACATATTTGATGATCTAATATATAATGGGATTAATCCATATTATACAAAATGGATATGGCACGGTGAAAGCTATGTGGTTACGACATCTAACATGTATGTTGACAACGAAGCAAATGCAGATGATGAGTCTGAAGATCGGTTCGATGAAATGTTTCCCTATATATATAATATTAACATTTTAAAAAACTAATTTTTTAATTATTAAATACAAAAAAATTAGTATTAGTTGTAGACTTTACTTTTTTTTTTTAAACTTTGAATTTAAAAAAAAAAAAAAAACAAAAAAGCCCGTGGACGGACCCGCGGGGCCCGCCAACCCACATAGGGCGGCTATCGTTGAATGAACCCTAGCCTGCGGGTCTGGTGGGCCAACTCGCAAAAGCCCGCAAAAAATTAGACTCGAAAATTTTTGCATGCGCATCCCTTGGAAAATGACTTCCCCCAAAAAAAGGGGAAGTCATTTTCCTCCAAAAGATACCTATTTTCCTTTGACTAAGGCATCATTTTTCATTGACTTCATTTTCCCCCCTCTTGCCAAACAACCGGAAACTCGAAAAACATTTTCCAGAAGTCATTTTCCGTGTTTCTAAAGACACCCTAAACTAAGTATATCCTTTACAATTCAAATACAATAAATGTTACAAATTCAATTATAACTAATGAATGTCTGGAATTATAATTGTTTCTTTTTTACTCCATTTAACACATTAAAAAGATAAAAATTAAAAAATAAAAAACCTTTAAAATACATTTATTTTAAAAATTTGAATTATAAGTTTATTAATTGGCTACTAAAAAGTATAGTCTTTTTAGTTAAGATTGGTGATTTTTTTTTAACAAGGAAACTCGTATTTACTATCTAAGAGTGTACACATATAGTTTATATCTTGCTTATGTTTAATTGTCACAAAACCATACAAGAGAGACAAATCGCATTGAAAGATCATGCACAACGAGTTAGACCAAGGGGTGCGTGTTGATCAAATCAAATTTGTGACATCCAAATATGAGGGTCATGTTCTACTGACTCGATCACCGTTTTTAAGCCGTGTTGGAGGGTAACATTAACCAAGCTAAAAATAGTGAAGGGCAATAATGTACATTCTCCCTCGGTGTCAGTTGTAACCATCCATTCTCACTATATATGTTTGACATTTTTCCTCCATGCACTGTAATTCATCTTTTCCCAGATAATGAACTTACTGTCCATCTCTTTACCCTTCTAGCTTGTGTGTTTGCTGTTCTCTATTATGGTATCAGAGTGGGGACGGAGCACATATGCTGCCGCCGTCTCCGGCACAGGCGAGCCGATCGAGCAAGCACCGCCAATCGTTCTACCGCCGATCGTCCAGCCACCGCCGATTATTCAGTCACCAGCTCACTCTCAAAATAGCATTCCGCAGAGGAATTTGTTTCCGTAGAGGAACACCAGCTCAAATGACATTGAGAATCCGTATTTTCTTAACAGCAACGACAATCCGAATATGGTTTTAGTCAGTCCTCCCTTAGCCGGCAGCTCGAACTACGGATCGTGGTCCATATCCATACGTGTTGCTCTCGAGGTCAAAAACAATTGGTGTCTGATCGATGGGAGCATTGTCACACCGAACAGAGATCAGGAAAACTATGCCGCTTGGAGCCGCTGCAATTTGATAGTCGGAGCTTGGATTCTCAGGTCAATTCATCCTTCTATAGCTCAGAGTGTTATGTATATGGAGAAAGCAAAAGATGTTTGGGATGACCTAAGGAGAAGGTTCTCACAGAGAGATCCTAATCGAATCTCTACCTTACAAAATGAAATTTATGATTTAAAGCAAGGTAGTATGTCTGTAAATGACTATTATACGAAATGCCGGACGTTGTGGGAACAATTGAATGCGTTGAGGCCCTTACCAATTTGTAAGTGCGATCCACGTTGTTCTTGTGACCTTGTGGATGAAATTAGAAAGGAACGGGAGATAGATCAGATAATTAGATTTCTTCAGGGATTGAATGAAGATTATAGTTCACTGAAACAGGGAATTCTTATTCTTGATCCGTTACCAGAAATTTATAAGGCTTTTGTCATGGCTGAGAAACTTGAGAGACAAATAAACCTAACAAATTTGAGCCTAAAAGGTCTAGAACTTGCTCAGGCCAATGCTATTCAAAGTAACCAAACTTCTGCAGATGACATAGTTGGAGCAGTAAGCAGCTATAATGGCAGGAGAAATGGGAATTTCAATAATGGAAACAAAGCAGCCAAGTGTACCTTTTGTGGTATGACCAGGCACACTCTGGAGAAATGCTATAAAAAGCATGGTTATCCTCCGTGTTGGGTGATAAGTGCTTATTTGTCTATATTTTCCTCCCTTTCACTAAGCCATTTTGCTTATAGATCATTCCAAATTTCATGAGATTATGATTAAATTGTGTTATTTTGCTAGGAGTTTCGTTTGGAAAGCATTGGAAGCAAAGATGACTAATATCATGCATTTTGGTGGATATTGGAGTCAAGTGGAGCATTATGGATACATTTAGAGTCCATGGGAGCCAAGGAGAAGCTAAGTTGATGGGCAAAACTCTTCCAAGGGAGTCTAAGAGTGGTGTATTCAATGGTCTTAGTCATTTGGGCAAACCAAAACAAAAGAGGAGCAAAAGATCAAGACATTGTAATTTTCGCTCATTTCGGACACTGTTCGTTTTTTTGGCCATATCTCGGCCTAGAAATGTCCAAATGGAGTGATTATTGCACCATTGGAAAGACAACTTAAAGGGCTACAACTTTGTTGAAGACCATAAGTGCCAATAAAATGGTTTTAGATGAGAAAAATAGCCTAGAAGTCAAGACAAGTGCACAGAATTCTGTTTCCAGCAGCCTCGTACGCCCTGCCGTACGCCCATACGCATGCCAGTACGCATCTCTTCTCCCTGATCCAGTTTTCACTGGAAATGTACCAAAAATCGTACCCCCTGGCGTATGCCCATCCCTGAGGGCGTCCCAATCTGCTCTGCTCTATTTAGGCGCGTTTTTGTGTCATTTCAACTTGGTTTTGACCCATGGTTGAGCCCTAGCTTCTCTCTTTCACTTCCTTTCATATTGTAGTGTTAGATTAGGTTTAGATTTAGGTTTCTTAACATATTTCAAGCTTGTAATCAAGGATTCAACACTTGGATTCCAAGATTCACCATCCATTTCTTAGTGAAGTTTTCTTCTCCCTTTTATCTCTTTATCTTGCAATGTTTATGCTTTACATTTATGTTTTTGTGTTCTTTATGCTATTTAATCATGAGTAGTTAGATTATGGACTTGAGTTAGGGTTGTATTATCTATCTTGATGCTTGATTTGTGATTATTGCAAAAAAGGGGAAGAACACTACCTAGGGTTCATGTGTTTGTGAAGGTGTTGTGTTTATATCTTGTTAATGTTTGATGTACACATTCATTAGCTTGTTTTTGGAGGATTCTTTGCTTCAATAAGAGTTGGGTGATGAATCCAAGCCACCCCTTGCATAGACCCGATTTCTTCCTACGAAAATAGGGGAAATTGGGGGCTTTAGATGCTTTGTGTGCTTGATAGACTTGGAATTGATTCACCACGAAAGTGGGGCATTTCCTTGTCCTAATCCTTGTTTATTAATCACGAGAATGGTTCATAGACTAGGATACCTACGTGAATTCCCGCTTGATTCCTTGGTTACTTGTTCTCCCTAATCCCTTAGGTTGTTAATGTATCTAGATGATAATGCTCCCTAGCTTGAGTCCTATTTCTTTATTTTGTGTTTATCTTTGTGTATACGTGTTCGTCTTATCATTTCCTTAAACTTGTAGTTTTCTTAGCTTCTTGTTGATTGCCTAGTGCTAGTGCCTAGTTTCTTGTGATTGTGTATTGCGTGTCATATCCCCTAATCCCCTGAGGACGATATAACACACCTGAGCTCACATCTTATTTTTGCTACACCAAAAATTGGCGCCGTTGCCGGGGATTGGCAATTTGGTGGTTCTATGTGATTGCTTGTTTTACTAGCATTAGAGTTTAGGGAATCTTAGGAGACTAAACTTTTTCTTTCTTTTTGTTTGTTTTTATTGTTCAAAGAGCTAATTGTCTAACCTTGATTGAGATTTGGTAGAAGGATCTTTTCTTTGTGCATTCATTCTTAATTGAAAAGGAAGAGTTTTCACCACTCAATCAAGAACTTTGAATCATGGAGGGGTATGATTTCCAAGAGCAAAGAATGTCATTGCCCGATTTCATCAAAATGGGTATAAAGACCTTTCAAGGTGGTCCACTTCAATCATTCCTTTCTTATTCTAAGTGGTGTTCCTATTGTGGTGAAGCTCATGCATTGGAGAATTGTTACAAGTTAAACTCCACAAGTCCAACACCACCTCAAGATTTTCAACCTTTCCCTCAAGAGTGTGGTGTCAACATGAGTCAAGAAGTCCCTCAAGAAGAAACTTTTCAAGCTTTGGAGCCACAATCTCCATGGTGTGCTATATGTGGTGGTTCTCATGCTTTGGAAAGTTTCCATATTTTGACTCCCACTTATCAAGTGCCTCATCAAGATGATCAACAACAAGCTTTGGAATATAATGTCAATATCAATCAAGAAGCTTGTCAAGGAGGTGCACCACCAATGTTCATGCACAACCTCTTTGGTGTGCCATATGTGGAGGACCACATAAAGCCGAAAGATGCTACATCCTTGATCCTAATTTCCAATATCAAGGCCAAGTTCAAGAACCTCCACATCAAGAACCTCAACAAGAATATCAAAACCAATTTCAAGAAGTCCCTTACCAAGAACCTCAACAAGAATACCAACCATTTGATCAAGAGTCTGAGTTGAAATTCATGATGGCTAACATGCTTAAGCAAATGAATGAGCAAAAAGTTCTACTAGACAACATGATGGCTCAAATACAAGGTTTGACAACTCAAGAACCCGTTCAAGAATTATCTTCCAATGGAGAGGTTATACAAGAGTTGCTCTTGCCAAATGAAGGACATGTGGTTGATGGAAATGAAAAGGAGGGTGAGGACCTTGAAGATGAAAATGAAGATAATGATGAGGTTTATGATGACTGCATTGAGATGGAAACACCAAGTTGGGGAGAAAGTGTAAACTTGCAAGGGATTGGTGATAAGGAGCAACTTGAAGATGGTAAGAGTGAAGAAGTGTTCAAGAATGACAAAATTGATGAAATTTGTGGCACAAATGAGGAATGCCCTTCGATGGATGACACTCCCTTAGATGAGGACTTTAGAGTGATTTGGGAACCGAGAGGAGTCAATATTCTTGAAAGTGTAGGTCCTCATTGGCCTATATTCATATCCAAGGATTCTTACTTCCTATTGTTGCATGACGGAGACCCAAGGTTTCCATTACTTGCTCAAGAAAAGGGAAATCATGAGAATGGAGACTTTGGGATTGGTCAATCTCATATCTACTACCAAGAAGCAATGTTTAGGAAGAAATCCTTGTTTGACTTATGGATTAAAAATGGCTTTGAGGAAGGGATATGTTTGAAGTTTGATTTGGATGAGCATAGTTTCTTAAACTTTGAAGTGGTGAAGATGAGCTTAAGAGAATTTATTGATGGCTACCACTTGAAGTGCTTTTTGGAAGAAAAGGTCGATGGAAAGAAGGGGATCTTCATTCTGAAATCCTTTGATGGTTTACCTTGAGAGGTTGAGTCGAGCTAGCGACGTTAAACTTAGCGCTTCATGGGAGGCACCCCATGTTATCTTTCATTTTATTGCACTTTAATTTCTTCTTTATTTTTCTTAGCACTTTTATTTTTGATATATCTTGCTTTCACTTGTGCTTTCATGTCTATATGCTCTTGACTCTAGGAATGACACCAAGGAGTATGCTCAATTCCAAGAAGGCTTCATGATGATTCTTTGACACAAGAAGATTCATTAGGGGAGTCTCATCTACCTTCTCTACTTTCTTTAATTGTGTATAGTGCTTTACTTGGTGTAGATAGTAGAGATTGTGCTCCTTGTGCTTATTGTGCTATCCTTCTCCCCTTGTTCTTTGTTGTCTTTCACATCGAGGACGATGTATTTTCTAAGTGTGGGAGGAGGACAAAAATTGGGAATTTTTTGAAAATTTTTGAAACTTTGCTTGGATGACTCATTGTGCATAGTGTTTGGTAAATTGCCTTTCCTTGCTTGAAGTTGTGATTACTCCCTCTTTGTTGGTTGGTGGTTTGCCTTGGTGGAACTTGTTGCAATTCAACTTGTGATTGATGAGCCAAGGGGTAATACATGATTGATCTATTCTCTTGCCAATAGCCTTGTTAACCACTTAATAATTGAATCAATTCTTGATCTTGTGTGTTATGCATTGCTAGTGAAGGCTTATGTGAGATTCCGGTCATGGTTGTTTTGCTAGAACTTGCCTAATTACTCCCCAAGTGAAATCTAAGATTTGCATGTTTTGAAATGATTTAGGCCATTTTTGTTTAGCCCGAGCCTTTCAAGCTTACCCTTTACACATGTGTTTACCCCTAGTTGTCCCCGTTGAGCCTTTTGTTTGTTTAATAAGTGCTAAGCACTTGTCTCCTCTTTGTGATTGTTTTTCCTTGTGTTAACCCTCATCATTTAACCCTTAACCCCTAGCCAAAATGTTTCCCTCCACCCTTGAGAGAATAGAACATTTATTCTTTTTCTTGGAAGAGATCTTTATTGGAGCTTGTTTTGTTAGCAATCCTCTTGATAATTTTGTCTAAGTGTGGAGGTCTTGATTCATTGAATAAGTTTGTTGGTTGATTTGAAAAAAAAAATGAAAAAATGATGATGAGAAAATTGAGGAAAAAAAAAGTCATGAAAAAGAGATGAAAAGAGAAAAATGAAAAGAAAAGAAGAAGAATAAAAGTTTGAAGTTTGTTTTGAGAGTTGTACTCAACCCCCACCACTTTAGAGGTTTGTTTTGTCCTTAAGTCTTGTTTGCTCCTTAGTCCAAAGAAGTTATATCTCTTCTAGCTCCAATTGTGAATAAATGTGAAATTCTCTCTTTTGTTTATTTTCCAACCCCTTCTTTGTTAGCCATTCACCCTTAGCCCCATTACAAGCCTAATAAAAGACCTATTTGATCTTAGCATGCAATCTTAGAGTTGAACTAGTGGGAGTATGAAGGGAAAGCCTATGGAACCTCATTCAAAGCCAAGTTTTGCATAATCTCAACTTAGCATTTGTTCACACTTGATCATCACACACTTAAATAATTTTTGTGCTTGGTTATTGGCTTGAGAATTGAACTTGTGTGGAAGGCTAAAATGATTCTTGAAACAAGTTGGTTTGTGGTTTGATTGGTTGTGCAAAGTGGGAGTGTGATCAATTTCATTGCTAGGTTGATGATTTATTTCTTGTCTTTGCTTGAGGACAAGCAAAGGTTTAAGTGTGGGGGAGTTGATAAGTGCTTATTTGTCTATATTTTCCTCCCTTTCACTAAGCCATTTTGCTTATAGATCATTCCAAATTTCATGAGATTATGATTAAATTGTGTTATTTTGCTAGGAGTTTGGTTTGGAAAGCATTGGAAGCAAAGATGACTAATATCATGCATCTTGGTGGATATTGGAGTCAAGTGGAGCATTATGGATACATTTAGAGTCCATGGGAGCCAAGGAGAAGCTAAGTTGATGGGCAAAACTCTTCCAAGGGATTCTAAGAGTGGTGTATGCAATGGTCTTAGTCATTTGGGCAAACCAAAACAAAAGAGGAGCAAAAGATCAAGACATTGTAATTTTCGCTCATTTCGGACACTGTTCGGTTTTTTGGCCATATCTCGGCCTAGAAATGTCCAAATGGAGTGATTATTGCACCATTGGAAAGCCAATGTAAAGGGCTACAACTTTGTTGAAGACCATAAGTGCCAATAAAATGGTTTTAGATGAGAAAAATAGCCTAGACGTCAAGACAAGTGCACAGAATTCTGTTTCCAGCAGCCTCGTACGCCCTGCCGTACGCCCATACGCATGCCAGTACGCATCTCTTCTCCCTGATCCAGTTTTCACTGGAAATGTACCAAAAATCGTACCCCCTGGCGTATGCCCATCCCTGAGGGCGTCCCAATCTGCTCTGCTCTATTTAGGCGCGTTTTTGTGTCATTTCAACTTGGTTTTGACCCATGGTTGAGCCCTAGCTTCTCTCTTTCACTTCCTTTCATATTGTAGTGTTAGATTAGGTTTAGATTTAGGTTTCTTAACATATTTCAAGCTTGTAATCAAGGATTCAACACTTGGATTCCAAGATTCACCATCCATTTCTTAGTGAAGTTTTCTTCTCCCTTTTATCTCTTTATCTTGCAATGTTTATTCTTTACATTTATGTTTTTGTGTTATTTATGCTATTTAATCATGAGTAGTTAGATTATGGACTTGAGTTAGGGTTGTATTATCTATCTTGATGCTTGATTTGTGATTATTGCAAAAAAGGGGAAGAACACTACCTAGGGTTCATGTGTTTGTGAAGGTGTTGTGTTTATATCTTGTTAATGTTTGATGTACACATTCATTAGCTTGTTTTTGGAGGATTCTTTGCCTCAATGAGAGTTGGGTGATGAATCCAAGCCACCCCTTGCATAGACCCGATTTCTTCCTACGAAAATAGGGGAAATTGGGGGCTTTAGATGCTTTGTGTGCTTGATAGACTTGGAATTGATTCACCACGAAAGTGGGGCATTTCCTTGTCCTAATCCTTGTTTATTAATCACGAGAATGGTTCATAGACTAGGATACCTACGTGCATTCCCGCTTGATTCCTTGGTTACTTGTTCTCCCTAATCCCTTAGGTTGTTAAAGTATCTAGATGATAATGCTCCCTAGCTTGAGTCCTATTTCTTTATTTTGTGTTTATCTTTGTGTATACGTGTTAGTCTTATCATTTCCTTAAACTTGTAGTTTGCTTAGCTTCTTGTTGATTGCCTAGTGCTAGTGCCTAGTTTCTTGTGATTGTGTATTGCGTGCCATATCCCCCAATCCCCTGAGGACGATATAACACACCCGAGCTCACATCTTATTTTTGCTACACCATTGGGTGCCAGGTTATAAGTCCAAAGGAAAGCAACAACAGGCTGTGGTAGCTATTGGAAATAACCTAGCTGATTCTGGCATCACTCATGATCAACTTCAGAAACTCTTATCAGCTCTGCCAATGCAAATAGGGTAATCTCCTAGCTCTACTTCAACTGTTGCAGTCACCCTCATCCCCAAATTCAAGGAAACAAGTCATGATAATGAAGGCAAGTATATCAAATCCCATATTAATTCTTCTTTGTTATCTGCATCCACATGGATTTTAGATCTGGTGCTACAGACCATATTACTTGTTCCCTTGACTGCTTTGATAATTATCGTGCTGTTGTGGGGATGGAAGTGAATTTGCCAAATGAGGAACGTGTTGCAGTTACACACTTGGGGAATATAAGGCTCATGGACAATCTGCGGTTAATAAATGTTCTACATATTCCATCATTCAAATTTAATATAGTTTCTGTCAGTAAACTGCTATTGGACTCTTCTTACAGGCTGAGTTTCACATCTGGCTGCTGCTTGATTCAGGAAGTGCATGGGATGACAGTTGGTTTTGCTAAAGAAGAGAAAGGATTATATTTGCTACTGAATCCTCCACAGCAAACTGGTTTGAGTCACAAGCATTTTACTATGCAGTGTACTAGTGCCAAAATTTGGCATGAATGTTTGGGGCATTTCCCTATAAATAAACTCAATTTGTTGAATGACATTTCAGTGTCTCCCATGAGAAATATAACTTGTGACACTTGTCACCTAGCCAAACAAAAGCGTGTTCCCTTTCCCTTAACTGTTACATCCTCCAATGCTTGTTTTGAATTAGTCCACACAGATATTTGGGGACCTTTCCCCATATGTTCTGTAGGAGGAGAACATTATTTCTTAACCTTGATAGATGATTTTTCAAGGTTCACATGGGTCCATTTAATGAAGAAGAAAGGTGAGGCTAGAGACTTGATAAAGCGATTTCACAACTATGTTTTCACAGAGTTTGGTGCACTTATCAAGACTATACGAAGTGATAATGGACCTGAATTTAACATGGCAGAATTTTTTGCTGAAAAAGGGATATTACACCTAAGATCATGTGTAGATACACCACAACAAAATGCGGTGGTTGAATGCAAACAACAACACATCCTTAGTGTAGCTAGGGCTCTCCGATTTCAAGCTCATCTACCACTTGAATTTTGGGGACAATGTGTTTTGCATGCTGATTTTACCATTAATTGTTTGCCTTCACCTGTGCTTGAATGGTCTAACCCTTATTGCAGATTATATGGAAGGAATCCTAGTCTCAATGCTCTCAAAGTTTTTGGGTGTCATTGTTATGCATCTACCTTATCTCAATCAAGGAACAAGATGCAACCACGCAGCAAACGGTGTATTTTCATTGGAATACCAGCCAATGTTAAAGGTTATTTGTTATATAGCCTAGATGATAAATCTGTTTTTATTTCACGGGATGTGATTTTTTATGAAACACAGTTTCCTTTTGCTGAAAAAGACCATGATGAAGTTGAAGCAATGCCATCATAGTTTAATCCCTCTTTACCTACTATACCAGTCAGCACAACAATGCAACTTGATATACTCAACAGTGGCAGTGATCAACCTAACTTTGAGATGCATGCAAATGTTGGTGAAGAGACTCCAGATCATACTCATGAGCACACCATACCAGAACCTAATCTTTATGATGTAGAATCTATTCGTGCTGATGATCACAGTGTTATGCAGGACAACATGACAGTTTCTAATCAGGAAATTCAACCTCGACGAACAACTAGGCATCGCAGGGCTCTTAGCAGCCTACAAGATTATTATTGTGACACTGTTGTTCAAAATGGATCCTCACCTCACTCTCTATTCAAGGTGCTGACAGATGAGAACCTCATACAAACTCATAAAGTTTTTTCCATGGCTGTGACAGACATCAATGAGCCACAGACATACAACCAGGCCATTAAGTTTGATTGTTGGAAAAAAGCTATGGAGGCTGAGATCACTGCTCTTCAAGACAATAATACTTGGGTATTGACTGACCTACCTCCTGGTAAAACACCCATAGGATGTAACTGGGTTTATAAGGTCAAGCTTAGAGCGGATGGCACTGTTGAAAGGCATAAGGCGAGATTGGTAGCGAAAGGATACACGCAGCAGCTAGGGATTGATTACATTGAGATGTTCTCCCCAGTAGCAAGGCTGACAACCATTCGCACTTTCCTGGCAGTGGCTATGTCAAAGGGTTGGCACATCCACCAAATGGATATCAACAACGCTTTTCTACACGGAGACTTGGATGAAGAAGTTTATATGGTCTTACCTCCAGGCTTTCAAAGTGAAAAACCGAAGCAGGTTTGCAGGCTTTTGATGTCTCTTTATGGGCTCAAACAGGCAAGTTGCCAGTGGAATGCAAAGCTGACTGCCGCCCTCATTCGACTTGGTTTTAAACAATCGAAGTCAGACCCATCGCTATTTACCAGAGGGTGTGATGAAAATTTCATTGCACTTTTAGTGTATGTCGACGATATCCTGGCAGCAAGTGGACAAGTGGAGATTATCACAAAGTTGAAAGCTATCTTAAATGACATTTTCAAGATTAAGGATTTGGGATCATTGGGGTACTTCTTAGGCATAGAGGCCAAGCTAGACACATCTGGTTTGAACTTGTGACAACGTAAGTACACTCTGGACATTTTGAATGAAACCTATTTAATTAATTGCAAGTCAGTGCCTACTCCGATAGTGCCAGGTTCTCGGTTGGTACATGGTGATGGTATACCCCTTGAAGATGCCAGTGGCTATAGAAGTTTAGTAGGGAAACTTCTATATTTAACAGCGACAAGGCCAGATATTGCATATGTTGTTCAAAAGCTGAGTCAGTTCGTGGATGCCCCCTCCGATAAACATATGATTGCTGCACATCGGGTTTACGTTATATTAAAGGTGCACCGGGGCAAGGATTATTCTATCCAAGGCATAATGGTCTGCAGATTAAGTCTTTTTCAGACTCCGACTGGGCTGCTTGTACTGAGACTCGCAAGTCTATCACTGGGTTCTGTATATTCCTTGGTCCTTCTCTCATCTCTTGGAGGCCTAAAAAGCAGGTTACTGTGTCGAAGTCGTCCTCCGAAGCAGAGTACCGGGCAATGGCCACCACAGTTTGTGAGATTCAATGGATCACATATTTACTTCAAGATTTGCAGGTGATGAACAAAAGGCTAGCAACTCTGTTCTGCGCCAACAAGTCGGCTGTTGCTATTGCCAAAAACCATGTGTTTCACGAGAGAACAAAACACATAGATATTGATTGTCATGTGGTTAAGGGGAAGGTCAATCAATGGCTGACCAAAGGGTTATCTGTATCTTCTTCAAACCAAGTTGCTGACGGCTCCACAAAATCCCTCTCAAAGGGTTATCTGTATCTTCTTCAAACCAAGTTGCTGACGGCTCCACAAAATCCCTCTCTATTTCTCCTTTTAAGAAGTTCATATCTAAACTGGGCGTTCATGACTTACACGCTCCAGCTTACCGGGGGTGTTGGATGGTAACATTGACCAAGATAAAAATAGTGAAGGGCAATAATGTACATTCTCCCTTGGTGTCAGTTGTAACCGTCCATTCTCACCATATATGTTTGACATTCTTCCTCCATGCACTGTAATTCATCTTTTCCCAGATAATGAACTTACTATCCATCTCTTTACCCTTCTAGCTTGTGTGTTTGTTGTTCTCTAATAAGCCTAGATTAGTATTTTGATAATATTCTTTTTGTAACCTATATAATTTATTTTACTTTTGTGTTGCATGTTTCATTTATTCAATAATACTTTTCTTTTACAAAGAATAAAAATTATTGATTAAAACATACTCGGTTAGCAACATAAGACTAGATAAAGGTTCTTATAAATATAATACAACGACATTTAATAATTGATTGCTGGAATAGCTCAATTGGTTAGAGCGTGTGGTTGTTAACCATAAGGTCAAAGGTTTAAACCCTTCTTTTAGCGTATTTGATGTTTTTGTAGAATAAGTCACTCTCTTTTACATTCTTTAACAGCACGTTTGGTTCACGGAATGAATTTTGAGGTAATAAGAATGTTATTCCATAAGGAATAGAATAGGCAAGGAATAGAATAGAAATTGTATTCTATTGTTTGGTTCGCGGAAGAAATAGACTTTAGGAATTATATTACTGTGTTTGGTTCGTTTAAGGAATAGAAATGAAATATGTCTTAAAAGACATAAATACCCTTATAAAAATATGTGGTGGTGTCGATGGTGGCGGTGGCGGCGGCGGCGGTGGTGCCGGTGCTGGTGGTGGTGGTGGCGGTGGCGGCGATGGTGGTGGTGGCGGCGATGGTGCAGTGGTGGTGGTGGTGGTGTTGGTGGGGTGGTGGTGCTGGTAGCGGTGGTGGTGGTGGTAGCGGCGGTGGTGGTGGGGTGGTGGTAGCGGCGGTGGTGCCGGTGCTGGTGATGGTGGTGGTGGCGGTGGTGGCGGCGGTGGCGGTGATGGTGGTGGCGGCGGCGGCGGCGGCGGTGGTAGCGGCGTGGTGGCAGTGCTAGTGGTGGTGCTGGTGGTGTTGGTGGGGTGGTGGTGCTGGTAGCGGTGGTGGTGGTGGTAGCGGCGGCGGTGGTGGGGTGGTGGTACTAGTGGCGGCGGCGGTGGTAGTGATGGTGGTGGTGGTGGTGGTGGCGGCGACGGTGGTGGTGGTGGTGGTGGTGGTGGCGGCGGTGCTGGTGGTGGTGGTGGTGGGTGGCGGTGCTGGTGGCGGTGGGGGTGGTGGGGTGGTAGTGTTGGTGGTGGTGATGGTGAAATAGGAAATAAATTTAATTGGGGGGTAAAATAGGAAGTAGAAATTTTAGGCTATTCCTGAGAACTCAGTAATAGCCCAATACCAAGGGGGGCCCTGGTAATAACTATTACCTTATCTGGGGGAATAGGATATTATCGGGAATATTATTCCCGGTAATAGAAATGGTTACCAAACAAAGGAATAGGCCTATTACTGGGAATGCTATGCCATTCCCGGCCTATTCCGTGAACCAAACGGGCCATAAGTCTCTCTTTAAAGATAGTTTACTATGCTATGTATTTCTATTTGAGATGAATGAGTTACAATGAAGAAGGATTACCAATTTATAGCAACCTCAAATGATTATTAGCCTTAGAATAAGTCACTCTCTTTTACATTCTTTAAGTCTCTCTTTAAAGATAGTTTACTATGCTATGTATTTCTATTTGAGATGAATGAGTTACAATGAAGAAGGATTACCAATTTATAGCAACCCCAAATGAATATTAGCCTTACATTTGTGTGCCTAGAATTAATCCTAATGCCAATATGCCTACCTAATATTATATCATAAAACATTCTACATTTCACCCAAAAATAAATAAAACATTCTACATCTACCACAAAGATAATATATATTTAGCAATGTGAACTAATAATAATAATCACTACCATCATCCGCATTAAATACTACTATCTGTATAAATTAACAAGCTTACAAAAAAAAAAAAAAAAAAAAAAAAAATCGAATAGAAACCACTCATCTAAATAATACATTCCCAAGCACAAACGACGATGGAAAACTATTTGTGTATCAATATATATAACCATTAAAATAGTAAATAAATAAAAAACAAAAAATAAAAAAACAGCACAATGTTGTTTATAAAAGGATATATATATATATATATATATATATATATATATATATATATATATATATATATATATATATATATATATATATATATATATATATATATATATATATATATATATAGGGAAGGGATCAGGTGAATTTGTGGCTTCCCGTGCGATTGTGCGATTGATTAATGTGCGTGAGTTTTATATTTAATGTGTGTGAGTCTTGTGCTTAATGTGCCTGAGATTTGTACTTAATGTGCGTGAGTTTTGTACATAATGTGCCTGAGTATTGTACTTAATGTGCGAGATGTTTGTGCTTAATGTGCGTGACTTTTAACACAATCGCACAGGAAGCTATAAACAAAATACATTCGGACCATAAACTCACACACATTAAACACAAAAGTCAGACGAAGACAAAGACGTATATGATGAAGAACAGAGAGAGGGGAAGAGAGGATTAAGGGAATAGGAAGAGAAGACGAAAACGTATATGATGAAGAACAGAGAGAAGGGAAGAGAGGATTAAGGGAATAGGAAGAGAGGACGAAGACGTATATGAAGAAGAACAGAGGAAGAGAGGATTAAGGGAAAAGAGCGGAAGAGAAGACGAAGATGAAGGTGTATATGTACAGGAGCAACAAGAGCACATTAACATTACACACTCACGCGCATTAAGTTCAAATCTCAGGCACATTAAACACAAGACTTAGGCACATTAAGTACAAAACTCACGCACATTAACATTACACACTCACGCACATTAAGTACAAAGCTCAAGCACATTAAGCACAAGACTCACGCACATTAAGAACAAAGCTCACGCACATTAATCAACTGCACAACCGCAAGGAAAGCACACAACCGCACTGGAACCTTTCACTATATATATATATATATATATATATATATATATATATATATATATATATATATATATTATATATATATATAATTCCAACTCAACAGCCTAGATTGAGTATTAATTAAAAAATACACGGTGACATATTTGTAAATTTAAGTAAGTCACATTGTCTTTTGTATTCGAGTGCACATTTTTCCTTCTTCAAGTGCATATTTCTCTTCTTCGAGTGCATCTGTTCGTTTTGTTTCAATACTTAGCTTATCCTTTGAGTGCACATCTTTGTTCCCTTGAGTGCAAAAATTTGGTCTTCAAGTGCATGTTTTCTTTTCTAAGCTAAGAGTGCACAATTAATTGTCTTCAAATTTTTCCTTATAGTGTTTTTTTTTTCTCCCTTACCTTATAGTGATCTTCTTTATGCCTTTAAGTGCTCAATTTAATGCCTACAAGTGTATATGTGTCTTACTATTGTGTAAAAATAAAAAATAAAAAATAAAAAATACTTAGCATTCAAGTGAACCCTTTTTTCCTTCCAATGCAAATTTTTTGCCTTCAAGTTCACAATTCTAGGCAGTATTTGTTATATTTTGTGCATTCTTTTCAATAATATATAACTAAATTTCTAATGAAATTTGTGAGGTTTACAAATGATTTGCATGTATAATTGCTTTAATAACACTTTAGTTGAATAACCTTCCTTTTTGGTACCATAAATTGCATCAATTGCACATCTATTTGTCTTCGAGTGCAACATTTTTTGCCTTCAAGTACACATTTTTATATCTTCAAGTGCATGATTTGAAACTTTTAAGTGCACATTTCGTATAGAATTTATTTTAAAAGAGTCATTGATCATGGTTAACTACATTTTCACACCAAAGGTAACCTACGCACCTGATGCTAAACATATATACATATATATTATATATATACACACACACCCAACAGGCAACACTAAGCAATTAAAGTCATAAAAAACTGTGTAAATGCATCCTTACATTGGAAATACCCAAATAACTGTATTCTTAGCTTGGTTTAGACAAATTGAGCAACTATAATTATTACCCTACAATACATACTTTTAATTTCAATGGCTTACTTGAAGCTTTTAAGAGTTTGATGACTTAATTGAACCTTTTTTTTCAAGTTCAATCGCTTATTTAATTTAGAGCTTTTTAAAGTTTGATGACTTAATCGTACTTTTCATAAAAGTTGAATGGCTTACTTTATCCTTTATCCCTTTTAATTATGCTTTTGCATTATTGAGAATGTTTTTTTATATTTATGGTATTAATATTTTTTATTTGTATTTTTATAATAGTACAATTGTAAATTACTTTACAAATATTGTATTATTATTTTTTATCGAATAAAATTGTTTTACATCAACGCGCGCGCACACACACACACATACATATATACATACATGCATACATACATACATAATCATAATTAAATGTGAACTAAGTTTCTTGTGATAAGTGCAAACTAATTTGAATCATCCATCTAGTATAAGTGAATCAACTTAGGGATTTCGTAAATCTATTTCTTTAATGTAACAAAACTAATTAGACCAAATTTGTTCTTTTTGAAAATTAGCACCAGTCACCCAATTGCACATGAGACACTACCAAAAAAAAAAAACGGAGACAAGTAATATGAAGACGAAGACAATGACAAACATATCCAAAAGTAAATTAACAAAACTTAGAGTAATTACAACCAAAAGTAGTATCTACGACCTAATAACATATCAACTACAATAAGTATTTATATAATTATTTTTAGAAAAGTGCAAATTAAACATTAATTTTAATTCCAATTATAATGAACTTCTCTTATATAATCTTACATTGATATACTTTGAATTACTTATTTCTATCTACAAACCTAATAAAAGCCAATAAAGTTAGGCCTTTAATGGGAACTAAAAAAATGTTGGTGGAATTGTTTGTTGAAATGGATGGTTTATATTATTTTGATTTTAGTATTTTTTTTATTATGTTTCCTATTTTTCCTTATATTATATTATTTACTTTTTCCTAAATACCCCTGCACTTCGTCAGTGTAAATTTTATTAACGGAATATTCCAATAAATTATTTATTATTGTTAACTTACTCATTGATATTTATAAGGGAGATTTTAGGTTCGAACCCCATACCAATCAAAATTGACATAATTGTTAAAAAATATACTATAAATATATTAGAATGTATTAAAGAAATCCAAAATAAAATCAAACATGAACTTTGGTCAATTAATTTAATTCACGCATTGGACATTGATGAATCGGTACACCTAATTTACCGTATATATTCAACACAAATGAGAAATTATGCCTATTATCATTATCTTTTTGGGGAAGAAGGACTTGGTTATGTTTTTGAAGGTCCACGGCGCCAAGGCACTAAAATTGCAGTGAAGCAAACCAGGTGACTAGATCAAATCAAGAATTTATTTTGGCAGAAGTGGCAACAAGAGTAAGC